TGCAGGGCCGGCTGTGCCGCCGGCTCCTGCGCTAATTGGCCGTCTGAGCAGCCTCTTGAGGAAAACGCTGCCTCCTGTCCTTTGAACGCTTTCTGATTTGATTTCTTTTGGCATCTTGAGCCTTGATATAGTTTAGACACTGGGCCTCGTCAGTTATGTGGCTCTCAAACGCTTCCTCCCGGCCTGTCCCGTCCATCCATGTTCTTGTCTGGGTCTCTCACCGAGCAAAGGTTTTAAATGTGGATGAGGTCTGATTGACCAATAATCGCTTTTATGGGTCGTGCTTTGTTTTCGTGTCTAGGAAGTCCCTGCCAAGCCCTAAACCCCAGAGATTATATGTATATGTATATATATATATTTTTTTTTTTTAATATAAATATATTAAAATATACATATATTTTAAATATAAATATATATATGTATATATTTTAAGTTTTGCAGTCTTGCCGTGTGTGTTTACGGACGCGATTGGCCGTGTGCTGGTTTCCGCGTGAGCTGTGAGACAGGTGGCGGCTGTTTTTCGGGTGCGGCCGTGGAGCCAGCACACGCGTTGCTTCTGAAAGACGCAGGTGGCTCAGGGACAGTGTGTCCCCCTGTGACGCCCGCAGACACTGGCTCGGTCTCAGCAAACATGACGTCCCGGTTACTGAAACACTTGGACAGTTTCCGAAACCAAGGGAGAAATGCTGAGCCCAAATCGGGTGAACTTTGTAAAATCTGGGCCCACTTTCCTTAGTCTGGAGACCAGGCTGGAGTGGACACGCCCAGCACGTGAGGTCAGGTTTCACTGTGTTTTCTGAGCTTTTTCAGCCACCGAAGCATTAAAACCTCAGAGCAGAGCTCTGACTGCTGGCGACCGTCTTCCACGGGCAGGTCCCTGCTCGGCGTCAGGATCTAAACCAAATGGGCAGAGCATCTTTTCAGAAAAATGTTTTAAAATCATAAATGTTCACTAAGCAAATATTTAATCCAAGAACTAATAACTCGATCAATATATTTTTAAATGTTTCAAAAAATTCAAGGAGGACTTTGTGCATTTAATAATAGAACATGGCTGGATTCTTACATTTTGGTTTGGTGGGATATAAACAGAGCACAACGTGCGATATAATTAAAATGTATTCCACAGGGTCCCCGCGCCAACCGTGAGTTCACCTGACGGGAGAGCCTGTGTCCGCCGCAGGTTCTCACCGGGCAGGGCCTGGGTGTCACGGCCCCGTGACTGTCAAAGTCACGTCCTCGCTCGTGCGTTAGGGTTTCGGCTGCTCCCCCGGAGCCGGGTGGTCCTGGATTTGGGGGGACAAGCACTGGGATGATGCCAGACCCCACGGGACCCCGGGAAGTGTCATCATGATTCACAGTAGCCCAGGGAGCCCCTGTGGGACGTTGAAAACCACAGTGTCCATCAGCTGGGACCAGCCTCCTTTCTCAGGTAACAGAGGGACAAGCCCAGTGCGGCCAGAATCCTGTTTCCTCTTTTATGGCGGGAAGTGCGGAGGC